TGAATCTGTCCTAATCCACAGGAATAAAACCTGCATCCTTGAACATGGCGCAGTGACTCTCGGGGGGCCGTAAGAGATTCTGCCACTGATCACTGCTGTGCCTGGCCCTCCCTGCCAGCTGCAGGGCCCCACACCACTGGGGGGCAAGGCCGGTTCTGCCTGCAACTGCTCCACCTTCCATGGTCTCCATGGGAGCCACCTGCTCAATGGGGGGCGGGGTTTGGTCACCAGGGTGACAGAACAATCCTCCACCTGAGCGTGAACGGGGCGTGTGGGGGCCATGTCCAGCCGGTGAGGCATGCGACTGCCTAGGCTGCCCTTGGTGGGAGGGGCAGGGAGCAATGAGCAGTCCGAGGGGCACAGGGGTATTGTGGGGTGGGGTCATTGCTTAGCGGGAGACGGGGGCACTTAGGCCCAGCGTGGTGGGGGGCCACACCTGCTGCTGGAGGGTCGTTGCATAGCGGGAGACGGGGGCACTTAGGCCCAGCGTGGTGGGGGGCCACACCTGCTGCTGGAGGGTCGTTGCATAGCGGGAGACGGGGGCACTTAGGCCCAGCGTGGTGGGGGGCCACACCTGCTGCTGGAGGGTCGTTGCATAGCGGGAGACGGGGGCACTTAGGCCCAGCGTGGTGGGGGGCCACACCTGCTGCTGGAGGGTCGTTGCATAGCGGGAGACGGGGGCACTTAGGCCCAGCGTGGTGGGGGGCCACACCTGCTGCTGGAGGGTCGTTGCATAGCGGGAGACGGGGGCACTTAGGCCCAGCGTGGTGGGGGGCCACACCTGCTGCTGGAGGGTCGTTGCATAGCGGGAGACGGGGGCACTTAGGCCCAGCGTGGTGGGGGGCCACACCTGCTGCTGGAGGGTCGTTGCATAGCGGGAGACGGGGGCACTTAGGCCCAGCGTGGTGGGGGGCCACACCTGCTGCTGGGGGGTCGTTGCTTAGCGGGAGATGGGGGCACTTTGGCCCAGTGTTGTCGGTGGTGGGTGGCCACACCTGCAGCCCCCATCCCAGGACTTGCTGCGTTCTCTCTCCAGTGCCTACACCAGGTTGTGGCTCGAGTCCCAGGCTGCCCTAAATGAGCTGCTGGGCCAGGAGCTGCCGTCCCAGCCCCTGCAGCCGGAGAAGAGCCAGCGGCTGTTCTTCCAGATGGTGGCCACCCTGTTCCTGCGCTACGTGCAGATCCTGCGCTGCCTGGAGACCTGCTATGACCAGATGGTGCATCCGCAGAAGCGCTTGGTGCTCCGGCGCGTGCTTGAGGGGGTGATGGGCCGGGTGCTGGAGCTCAAGAACGAGATGGTGGAGATGGAGCTCTCGGAGTATCACTACATGGATGATGTGCTTCAGGACCTCAAGCTCACCCCAGTGAGAGGGGCATGGGGGTGCCTGTGGGCTGCAGCGAGCTGGGCGGGGGCTGCATTTCTTGGAGTGGAGATGGAGCAGTGGGAGTCAGTGTTGCTGGGGGGTACTGGACTGGTGTGGGGCAGCGGCATGGGAGCAGTGGGGTGGACTCGACTGACACAGAGTGGAGCAGTGTTGCTGGGTTACTCACGGCTCCTTCCGGACAGCTGCATTGTCTGCCTACAAGCGCACTGCAAGCAGGGGCCTGGGTAAACCACCCCAGGCTGACGATCCAGGGTGGAGCTGTCCGGAGAGCAACTCCCGCACCTTCAATGCGGCAGGGAGCGGTGCTCTGGCCCATCCCCCTGGGCATGGGGTTCTAGCACCATTCCAGTTAACCTCTGCCCCTCCATGAGGCTGGAGGGGTGACAGAGCCAAATGTGAATGGGGGAGGCTGCAACGCTGCTTGGGCCTTGCACGACGGCTCCATCAGGATGGGGCAACAGGGCCGAGCTGGAGTGAGGCGTTGCACCCAGTGTGCTTGGTTCAGTGCCACTTGGGTTTGGCCCTTCATCAGGATGGAGAAGCAGCTTGCTGGGCCCTGTCTGAGTGGGGCTGCCCTCCTGTGTGCCAGTGTGTGACCCCCTTTTCTTGGGGTACAGGTGGGCATTGCTGGGCAGCCAGACTGCTGAACATCCCCATTCCCTGTTGGGAGGCGGGGTGGAGGGGGTTGGCTGAGAGCCAATAGGGCCTGTTCCCTCTCTGTGAGGGACAAAGTGTCTGAAACAGGAGCATGGTGACTGGCCCGCTGTCAGATGGCCACAAACCCACTTGTCAATGGGGATAAATGTGCAGCAGCAACCACAGAGTGAGGGTGAAAGGCTAGTCGCTGAGTCAATTAATCCCTGTTGGGAGGCGGGGTGGAGGGGGTTGGCTGAGAGCCAATAGGGCCTGTTCCCTCTCTGTGAGGGACAAAGTGTCTGAAACAGGAGCATGGTGACTGGCCCGCTGTCAGATGGCCACAAACCCACTTGTCAATGGGGATAAATGTGCAGCAGCAACCACAGAGTGAGGGTGAAAGGCTAGTCGCTGAGTCAATTAACCTCATCTGAACATCCTTACCAAGCTTCCCAAGGGCCCTGGCCTGCCATGGTATCTCTCCCTGACATTCATAGACTCTTTGCTGCTGTGGGGGAAGATTTAGAAGGGCCCTTGGGTTTCTGTGCCTGCCTTGGCAGTAAATGGAAGGAAAACCCATGGCTGAAGTATGATGTACAGACAGGTTGATGTTCGCCCCGCCACCTGTCCAACAGGGACTGACCTTGCAGAAACTCAAGCGTCCGCAGTACTAGATGCAGGCCACGCATGCACACACGCTCTGGAAAGGTGGTGCCAGAACACCCCCTTAGGAAATAGCTTGGTACAAACCCACTCCTTGCAGGTAACAGGGATGTACCAACCTGGGTTCAGGATAAGGTCTGGGATGACAGCCTGTTGTCCAGGATGTTTTGATCAACCTGCCATGTACAATGTAATGGGTAGCACCTAGTTTGGCCAGAGGATGGTGCCCTGATACAACTTGCTTGAGTGTAAAAACATGGTTTGGGGGTTGCCCTCATCCTGCCACGGGGGCAGCGGAAAATCCTACCCCTGATTGAAGTGGCCGACTGTCAGGGACACTCCTGTACTAGCAGAGACGTGGACACTGCCCCAGGGAGCTGGAGTCTGTGCTTCATTTGGAAATAAGCCCGGCTGAGGGCCTTTGCCCCTGTTTGATTGGGGGGGAGGTGAGGGCACTCTCAGTCTGCGGTGCTGGATCACTGCTCAGATGGGCACGCGTACCAACACCTGCGAGCAGAGCGCCACTCTAGTGGTGATCAACTGATGACAAGTAGCCCTAGCTGATGCCACCTGGAAGTGATGTGTCTATCGTCAGGCTGCACTAGCCCCGACAAGGCAAAGTGCCAGTAAGTGGATTGTGAGCTGGGAAACGGACAGATCTCAAACTTATCGGGGGGGAGGGAGAGAGCTGAGTGTGAGTGTTTCGAGGGGATTCTGAAGGGAGCAAGACTCAGCTGATCACTGTTAAAACAACAAGGAAAGGAAAGTCATGTACAGAACCCTAGACTGCTTGGCAAGTTGGACCCATTCAAACAAAGTCCGCTTTAATATAGGGTAATCAAATGCAAAGTTAGTCATCCAGGAATGCAGGTTTTCAAATGTCCAGAGGCCCAGTGCTCTGGAAGAGTCCCAGGGCCATGCTCTTTCACAGGGCAAAGCTCTTAGCTTTACCACCTCCTGGGCCTAAACCTGCTTCTGCACCCTGCCTTCATGCCCGAAGCTCCCTTCAGCTCACCCACCTGAGCTGGAGAGCTCATGGAGACCGATACCCCTACAGGGAGCAATGCACCCCCACCTTCTCACTCCCTGGTGACTCAGTCAGGTTGGCTACATCTACACTGGCATGATTTTCCAGAAATGCTTTTAACGGAAAACTTTTCTGTTAAAAGCATTTTTGGAAAAGCGTGTCTAGATTGGCAGGACGCTTTTCCAGAAAAGCACTTTTTTCCGGAAAAGCGTCCGTGGCCAATCTAGATGCGCCTTTCTGCAAAAAAAGCCCCGCTGGCTATTTTCGCGATCGGGGCTTTTTTGCGCAAAACAAATCTGAGCTGTCTACACTGGCCCTTTTGTGCAAAAGGACTCTTTGCTGCTCCCGTTCAGGATAGTATTTCCGCGAGAAGCACTGATTTCTTACATGAGATTGTCAGTGTTCTTGCGGAAATTCAAGCAGCCAGTGTAGACAGCTGGCAACTTTTTGCCCAAGAATGGCTGTTCTTGCACAAGAAGCTGCCACTGTAGACATACCCTCATTGGTGTAAAAGCAGAGGGGCTCACCAGATATCTGGAACAGTGGGGAATCCTTAATTAACATAAAGAGACTATGCTGTAGCTTTCTGCTATCTGGGTCAGTCATAGATTCCTCTGGCCCCTCTTTAATTCCAGTTTAAGAGCATCTTCCACTGTCTGTCTGCCAGAAACATGGACGGAGGTGGCAGCTGGTCACCCTGGCTGCCTCCTTAGCCCTTTGTTCTCCAGCCAGTCACATGCTGCTGCCATCTATGGTTGCTAATTGTTAGGTGCCAAATGTCCGTGGCCATTATCTTCCCGGCCTCTCCATGGCTATCACAGCCATTAGCAATTCTCTTCAGAAACCATGGAAGACAGGAGGGAGAAATGCAAGAGGCCTGGAAAAGGGGCAATTACAGTGCCTAGCTATGAAAGGAGAAATGAGGCATTATAGCCCAGTCAGCTTAACTTTGGCATCTGGAAAGGTAATGGAGCAACTAACGAAGCAAATCATTTGCAGACACCTAGAAGATGAAGGGGTGATAAGTAACACTCATGTAACACACGAAGCACAAATCATGTAAAACCAGCATCAGTGCTTTCTGTGACAGGGTAACAAGCCTTGTCAATGGAGAGAAGTAGTAGTTGTGGAATAACTTGATTTTAGTAAGGCTTTTGATATAATCTCACATGAGTCCTGAACAAACTAAGGAAATACAAGTTAGATGGAACTACTATGAGGTAGGTTCAGAGCTGGTTGAAAAAATATTCCCAGCAAGTAGTTTTCAGTGGTTTAGTCAAGCTGGAAGGGCATAATGAATAGGGTCCCACAAAGATCAGTTCTCAGTGTTTTCTCCATGAATTGAAATTAGGGGGGGTGTCGGGGCCAATGAGGGGTGAGACCGTGAGGGTGAAGGTGGGCTGTATGGCACCACAGTAAAAACTGAAAAATGTTTCATGACCATTTTATTAGATTTAACTCATGTTTTAAAATCACACAAATTAAAGTTGGCTACTCAAGCCTTCTTTGAAACACTACGTCTACATCCTTCCTGGCTTCTTGTTATAATTTTGCACAACTCTGTTAATGAACGTCTCGAATGCAATGTGTTCATCTTCGGTGGTTTCTCGTGTGTCTGGCACTTCCATTCCTTCAGTTGATATGCTCATTAGTTCATTCACATGATCAGGCAGAAGGCAACTTCTTTCAGAACACAGAATTCTATTCCATGATGAGAAAACGCTCAACTGTATCTGAAACAAAAAATAGGACTGTGTAGCACTTTAAAGACTAACAAGATGGTTTAATAGGTGATGAGCTTTTGTGGGCCAGACCCACTTCCTCAGATCAAATAGTGGAAGAAAATTGTCACAACCATATATACCAAAGAATACAATTAAAAAAATGAACAAATATGAAAAGGACAAATCACATTGCAGAACAGAAGCAGGATGGAGGAGGGGAAAGGGGGGGGAGGTAAAGGTCTGTGAGCTAATGATATTAGTGGTGGTAATTGGGGAAGCTATCTTTGTAATGGGTAAGATAATTAGTGCCTTTATTCAAATTTGAGTGTAAAGTGTCGAATTTAAGCATGAATGACAGTTCAGAGGATTCTCTTTGAAATGCAGTCTTAAAAGGTCTTTGAAGCAGGATGCAGGTAATCAAGTTGATGAGACAATGTCTTTTCTGGTTGAAATGGCAAGAAACTGGTTTTTCTTTGTGATCCTGTCTGATATCTGTTTTGTGGGCATTGATCCTTTGGTGAATATCCCTGGTCAATTTACCCTTTGGACCTTACCCACAAATCACGCTGGGCCAGTCCTTTAGCATCTAACAACTAAAGGTTTATTATTACAAGAAAGAAAAGCATGAGAGTAAGGTTGCTAAAGAATCATACATTACATGCATCAAATCTCCCAGTTCTCGATGCAGGCTCTAGCAGAGATGTTACAGCTGCTGGTATAAAAGTCCTTGTTGCACATCCTAGAATCAGGATGGGTTCACAGGTCTTTCCGGCTCTTCGATCCCTACACTGCTGCCTCTGGGATGAAGTGCTGAGCTGAAGACAAAAATGGAGTCCACCACATGGCATTGATCCTTAGCTGTTGTGACTGGGAGTAGCAAGAGAGAAATTCCTACTTCTTTCATCCTAGGAAACACAGCACAAAGATCCGGT